ATACACCAGCTGAAACTAATAGAGAATGATAACATAAAAGTAGTAGTAAGACTTTTTAATTCAATATATAACACCAGAGTGATTCCCGTAGATTAGCTCAAATCCATCTTTATCGCAATACCTAAAATACCTAATTAGCCTAATGAGCCACACTCTTAAAATTTTCCTCAGAATACTTCACAACAGAATTAGACGCAAATGTGAAGAAGATCTTGAAGATACCCAATTTGGTATTAGAAATGCTATGGGAACCAGGGAGGCACTTTTTGCGCTAAACATCCTATTACAAAAATGCCGTGACCAAAGAAAAGATGTATTTGCATGTTTCGTGGACTTCGAAAAGGCATTCGATAAAGTACAGCATGTAAAATTAATGCAAATACTGAAAAATATCGGAACAGATGACAAGGATATTCGTGTCATTAAAAATTTGTACTGGAATCAAACTGCTATCGTAAAAATTGGAGATAACTACACCGATGAAATCCCCATACAGCGAGGAGTCAGACAAGCTTGCATTTTGTCGCCAACATTGTTCAATGTTTACTCGGACCAGCTATTTGAAAACGCACTTGAGCGACAACCGTATGGAATAAAAATCAACGGGGAACTACTTAATGTGATTAGATATGCATTAAATACAGTAATTCTATCAGATAATATTGAAGGTATTCAAATTCTGCTTACTTAATCGTATTCACGAGGTAGGAGAGGAAATGGGCACTAAAATAAACTCAAACAAAACCAAATTTTTAGTGTTTAGTCGTGACCCACATCCCGATGCAAAGCTTCAATTGAACGGAGTCCAAGTTGAGAAAGTTCACGGTTGACTTAACTACTTTTATGAAAATGAAGTCATTCCTTTGCAATAACCATCTCAGTTTAGAACTAAGGCAAAGAATGATTAAGTGTTATGTTTGGTCTGTGCTTTTGTATAGTGCAGAAGTGTGGACACTAAAAGTATCGATCATGAACAAAATTGAAGCATTGGAAATGTGGGTTCATAGACGAATGCTGAAGATACCTTGGACAGCAAGATAAACTAATGAAGAAGTACTAAGAAGCGTCAACAAAGACAGAGAACTGCTAAAGACTGTTAAACATCGAAAAATGCCTTATCTAGGACATATAGTAAAGGGAAGTCGATATAAAATATTACAACTGATCCTTATAGGCAAAATAGAGTGCCGTAGAGGTGTAGGAAGAAGTTTCTTGGTTAAAAAACATTCGTGAATGGACTCAGATACCAAATGCAGGACAATTATTCCATATTGCAGAAGATCGAGAAGCCTTCGTAATGGTGATCGCCAACGTCGGATAGTTCTGATATGGCACGCGAAGAAGAAGATAGTTTCATATTCATTTTTAATTAACTTGATTTTTATTCTACACTAATGTGATTCAACATAATTTCCTTTCCTATTGACTCATTTATTATTAATTCGTTAGTAATTATTATTCTACTGAATATACTTAATAATGTACATTTTCCCTAATTCATTTATTAAAAAAATAATTATTACAAACAAAAATTGGAGCTACTCATGTGTAAAACTATGCTTCCTGTTTACTCCATCAAAAAATACTTGAATTCCTCATGGAAATGCTGCAGGCTAATGCCCTAAACAACAACACGGTCCCTAATTTTTATTTTCCGGTCAAATGTATGTCATCGTTATCCAAATGTAGGGCAATCTATTAACATAGTGCTGATAGCGTGCAGACAGTGAAATACCAAAGGGGAATAAACTCTAAGGCCAAAGATTATCTAAATAGTGGAACCAATTTTAGCTAAAAGCCGGTGAAGCCCGTCCTTCAAATCGATAAAATAGCGGATTTTTCTTTAAATTTTAGGATGAACTTTCGAAATAAAAAGAAATAGATATTTGCTACCCAAGAAGTGTGTTTATCCTTATTTACTTACATACAATATATGCGATCGTGCTTAGAGTATTCCTTTCATTAGAATTTACGCACAATATTTGTTTTTTTTTTAACCTATTCTCTATCCTTCCATTGTTGGATATAGGTCTCCCCCAGTTCTCTCCATCTTTCCCTATCTTGAGCTGTTCTCTGCCATGTGGGACCTCCTTGTTTTCTGATGTCATCTTTCCACCTCATCTGTGGTCTGCCTCTTGATCGAAGTGTCGTATAATTTTCAGAAATTACAAGTGTTCAATTCTTGAGAACAATGCATTATTGTTCTCTGAAATAATCAAAGGAATGAATTTGAGTTATCTTTGTTTTATGGAGATTTAAAATCTCAACATGATAATATGATGTTTTTTAATAACTTCTATGTTGTTCCGTGTTGCTGGTCTCGTTTTTTTCTTCGCATATCCTTTTACCCACTATAGAAGTAGGATTTATTTAGTTTATCTCCTAACCCATTCTATTTTATTTATTTATTTAGCGTATGGATAGTTACAATACGATAAAAGTAGTATTTAGATAATAATTATGTTCAAATTGGAATTGTAATCTAAGTTAAATATTAAATATTAATGTCCAAATTGCACAGCCATTCAATTGCACCAGGAGAACACTCTGCAAAATCTTGAAGGTCTCCGCTGTATCTGCGGATTGGGCAATCCGCCATGATGTGTTGGATGGTCTGTCTTGGGGATCCACAATCACATTGTGGGCTTTCTGCATGACCCCATCGGTATAGAGAATCGGCACATTTGCCATGACCCGTGCGTATGCGATTTAATTTTGTCCATATAGGGCGTGGCAGGTTTTATCCAGTAAAGCCGATCGACGTACTTGCTATTTTGATGACGTCTGGCTCTGTTGTTGGCATCCATCTTTTCGTCCACTGCTCTTGCTTATTGTAGCTATCACCCATTCCCTGAACGGATTGGACAGGGGGTCGTCTGGACTTCAGTCTTTGTTGGTCTCGTGCGGCGTGCGGAATATACTTACTGGTGAATTGGCAGACGATTATTTGCCATGATTTTCTGATATCCTCTGACAAGTGCTGCCGTTCGTCGAATATCTGGAGGTGCTATATTGCTCAGAATTGGAAGCCATCTTAGTGGAGTTGATTCAATAGTACCAGATATTACTCTCATAGTGTAATTTAGTTGAACATCAATCTTGTTGACATGAGCGCTATTTAGCCATACCATATTTAGCCATACCATAGCCATATGAGGAGGTTCGAAGTGTATCCGCAGTGGCACCCCATGTCGTTCCAGCAAGCTTTGTTATTATGTTGTTACGGGTTCTCACTTTGGCAGCTACATTCGTAAGATGGGTTTTGAACGTCAGTGATGTGTCGAGCGTTACACCCAGGTATTTAGGGTTGTTATTATGTTTCAAAGTCTCGCCATTGAAGGTGATGCTAAGGGTGTCATCCGAAAGCTGATTTGTGAGATGGAAGAGGCTTGTCTCAGTTTTGTTTGTATTAGGGCGAAGTCGTCATTGTTTAAAGTAGTCGCAGAGAACCCTTAAGTCTTCGGTAAGCGCCCTTTCTCCAACATCTTTGGCTTGATTTTGAAATGCGATAGCCAGGTCATCTGCGTAAGCAAATTTTTTTGATTTTGTCTCTGGAAGATCGGCTGTGTAAATGTTAAATAATAATGGAGCAAGCACTGAACCCTGTGGGAGGCCATTATTTAGCTTTCTGACATTGCTCTTTGTATCGTTTATATATACTTGAAACAGTCTGTTGGTTAGGAGGTTATTGATTAGTTGGCAGGTTTTCAGGCATGGTATGACCTTCATTAGCTTGTAGATCAGGCCTTCTCTCCACACAGTGTCATACGCAGCCGTCAGATCTATAAACGTTACGGCTGTTTTTCCCGTTTTTCGAAACCAGCTTTAATAAATGTCGTTAAGGACAGTACTTGATCACTACAGCTACGCCCGCTTCTAAATCCGGCCTGTTCGACTGGTATCACAGTGTCGGTGATGGGGTATATCCTGTTATATATAAGTCGCTCTAGTAGTTTGTAGCAGCAACTGAGGAGGGCAATGGGTCGATAGTTTTCGGGTAGTTCACCGTCCTTTCCAGGTTTTAAAATTGCAATAACTTTGGTTCTTTTGAACTCTGGAGGTAGTACAGATGTCTTCATTATGTCACTAAAAAAGTCTTTGAGCCAGTGTCGCGTTTTTGGACCACAGTGAATTAGGAACTCAGGATACATTCCATCGAAACCTGCCGCTTTGCCTTTTTTAATTTGACTGAGGCCATCGTTTCTTTCGTTCAGAGAGAAGCATCTTGAAAACTCTGAAGTAGGAGGAGTGTTTGTCTTAAGTTCTTTTAGAGCTTTTTTGTAGACGTCGTATGGATTTTGTCAGAGGGGGCACGCGATACTTCAACTATTCTGTTAGCTATCCTTTTCGGATCGATACTGTTCTTGTTCAAGCGTTTCAACCCATTCTATAAAAATGCTTTACGAACTATCTCCAAATGCTTTACGAACTATCTCCAAATGTTTCACTCAGACATTCAAAATCGCTGGTCTATTCAAGTGTTGTTTCTGAAAGAACGGTTTATTCTACAGAAAATATGCCAATAAACATTTTTGTTCAAAATTATCTGAGCTACATTTCTTGTTTGAAACATTTTTTTCTACGGCGTACAGATTCTTGGTGAATCGATTTTTTCCATTTTCCCCCTACACACTTTTTTAGGCGGGTTTTAACACTTAAGCTACTTCGTTAACCATTTCTGGTACACAGTTGATGTTTACCAGAAACTGCGAGTACCAAATTTGGTCACATGAAGTGGTAATATTTCAAGCTGTGTGTACGTTTGGTGAACACAGTTCTGATGCTTTTATATGCGCACCTAGGCTCCTACAGTTTTCGGCTAAATTCTGGAGAAGCAGTTTGAGACTTAGTCAACAAATGGCCTTACTATGACTGATTTTTTTAAATTCTGGCGGAGCAGTTTGATCAGCAGATGGCATATTACTGACTTGCAGGCGTGAGTCACTGTATTAGTTTGTACAACATTACTCTTGTGTGTTAACGTTTCTAAAATTAGTAAAATGGCAAATAAAAAATTAAATGATGCTGAACTCCTTGTAATAGCGGATAATTTGGGTGAAATGGAGTATGACTTTATTAATAAAGATGATGACGATTCGATAGATTATCCAAACTATCAAGATTCGTGTTTTTCTTCCTCTAATTTAGAAATTAACAGTGATGGGCAATAGTTAGAATTCGAATCTGATCTAGACTCTCTCAACAACGATTCTGAACCTGATAATTTTTAAATAATACTAATAGTAATTCTAATGTCATTTGGAATAATTGTGCAGGTAATACATAAAGTACACTTATATATAATACACTTTTATAGTTTTGAGTTTTGTTTACAATTTTGTAGGTAGTTTGAAGACATTTACTTTCACGGAAAATTCAGCATTCTCTTTAAAGTTTTTTTGCACAGAGGGAAGGAAATCACCCGATTCATTTTTATAAATTATTTCTTCTTCTTCTTCTAGTTTCTATCCGTTTCGGATGTTGGAAATCATATTGGCAATCATAACCTTGCTCGCTGCGGCTCGAAACAGCTCCGTTGAGCTTTTCTTAAACCGTGTTCTTAAATTCCGCAGCCATGATATTTTCCTTCTACCGGGTCCTCGCTTACCTTTGACTTTACCTTGCAATATAGACTGTAGCAGAGAGTAACGGTGCTGATTTCTCATAACGTGTCCCAGATATTGCAATTTTATGCGTTTGATCGTAAACACAATCTCTGGTTCCTTCTTCATTTTTCCTAGAACGTCCTTGTTCGTGATCCTTGCTGTCCATGATATTCTCAGCATTCTTCTATAAAGCCACATCTCAAATGCTTCAAGTTTTTTAATAGTGGCGTCTGTAAGCGTCCATGCCTCCGCCCCGTACAACAACACAGAGAAAACATAGCATCTCAAATGTCTCATTTTTGTATCAAGGAATATGTTGTGACTTTTGAAGATGGCGCTCATTTTGTTAAAGACCGTTCTTGCCTTTCCTATGCGGCACTTTATTTCCTGTAAATTGCTCCACTGTTCGTTAATAATAGTTTCCAGGTAACAATACTGTTTTACTCGCTCTATCTGCGTCCCATTAATGTATATATGAGCCCCATTTATATTCTCCTTGCTGATAATCATTTGTTTCGTTTTGTGGGTATTAATGTTTAGTCCGTACTGTTGACTGTACTCGTTTATTCTGTCCATTAGCCTCTGAAGTCCCTCTAAAATATCTGCTATCACCATGGTGTCGTCGGCATATCTAACATTGTTTACTCTTTCACCGTTTAGAAGGATGCCTTCGTCTATTCCGTAAAGAGCCTCGTTAAAAATTTTCTCTGAGTGCATATTAAATATCAACGGCGATAGGATACATCCCTGTCTAACTCCACGTAGTATTTTTATGTGATCTGTTTCTTCTCCGTTAATTTTCATGTATGCGGTCTGGTTCCAGTAGAGTTCTGAAATTATTCTGAGGTCTTTGTCATCCAGGTCTGCCTCTTTTAAAATGTTTATCATCTTTTGATGTTGAACTCTGTCAAATGCCTTTTCGTAGTCGATCAAGCACGCGTATACGTCGCAGTTAACGTCCCTGCGTCTTTGAATCAGTACCTGTACTCCAAAAAGTGCCTCTCTGGTACCCACTGCGTTAATGAAGCCGAACTGTCTGTCCGATATTTGTTCCTCGCACTTCTTATAAATTCTTCCATGGATGACTCTAAGAAACAGTTTCAACATGTGGCTCATTAGGCTGATTGTTCGATATTCTTCGCACTTTTTAGCCCTCTGTTTTTTAGGTATCGCTATGAATTCTGATTCTAGCCATTTATCAGGGATGATTCCTGTATTGTAAATTTTATTGAAGACAGCCGTGATCCAAATTATTCCTTCTTCCTCCAAGAGTTTTAAAAATTCAGCTTCGATATTATCAGGCCCTACAGCTTTCCTGCTTTTCATCCGTTTTATTGCTTCTTCTACTTCGGATTTAAGTATGTCCGAGCCCGTCATCCCCTCTGAAAATGGATTCCTATAATCCGTTCTTTGGTCTTGAAAAAGTGTCTCCAAATATATTCTCCATCTGTCTTTCATCTCTTGGGTGTCAATGATTAATTTTCCATTGGTGTCTATGAGTTTCATTTGTGTTCGCTTTTTAAAAGTACCCGTTATTTTTTTTACCTTTTTGTGTACATTAAAATTGTCATGCTTGGCTTGTAGTCTTTCTATTTCTTTACATTTCTCTACAATTTCTTTTTCTTTAGCTTCTCTTATTTTTCTTCTGATGTAAGCCTGAATTTTTTTATACTCATCTTTATTTCCTTTAAGTAACCTTCTGCGTTCCATTAAATGAAGGATTTCTGGAGTCATCCAAGATTTCTTCTTTGTTTCTTTGTTTGGTTTTAGCAGATCTTGTTTAGTTTTCTTAATTATTTCTTCGAATTGATTGATTTCTCGTTGGATGTTATTTTCTTCTTTTAGTTGTTTAACTTGGTTGTTAATATATTCCCCCACTTGCTTTTTAACTTCCGGATGTTGCAGGGCTGTCATGTCGTAGTTAGGTCTAGACTTTTTCTTTATTGTCTTCAGTCCCACATCCATGACTCCCACTAAAGGCATGTGGTCAGATTAAATTATTTATTGGCAACGAAATCTTATCACTGATTGTCAAAGAAACCAACAGATATGCTGAAGAGAAAATAATATTAGGAATTACAAATGAAACACTAACAAAAACAACATTATTGGGACAATAGAGAATCAATCCGAATTTGTTATTTTCTTAGGTCTTCTAATTTGGACGGAGTTGAATCGTAAGCCCACTTTGAACGATTATTTTAGCACCAATAGGCTGTACAAAAATGAAATTTAAAAATGTGTTCACATGTCCAGGATAAGGTTGGAGCTCCTTTTGTCGAACTTACACTTCTCAAGTAACGAAATGGCCTCAGGTGATAGGCTCAAAAAATTCCTTCCTTTGCAAAATTTGCTAATCAAGAAGTTCCAATCAGCATATGTTCTTGACAACATGTGTGTATAGATGAGACGATGATTCCTTTTCGAGGACGACTGAGCTTTCGTCAATTTATATTTGGAAAGCGCCACAAATACGGTGTAAAATTATTTAAGTTGTGTGGAGTGAAAGGTTACACATACAATTTTAAAATTTATATAGGAAAAGAGCAAACACCTAATGAAAAGCCAGTTGGTACAAAAGTGGTGCTACAGCTTATGGAACCACTTTTACATTCAGACCGCGTTCTGTGCACAGATAATTATTATACTAGCGTGAATTTAGCATACGAACTTCTGAACAAAGATACACATTTAATAGGCACACTGAGAAAAAACAGGAAGCATAATTTGAAAGTAGTAGTAGTAAGTGGGGCTAAATTAAAAAGGGGTGAATAAGTCATGAGACAAAGCAACAGTAAATTCACAATTGAAAAATGGAAAGACAAAAGAAATGTCATGTTTCTCACTACAGAGTCTGTACCTGAAATTGTGGATCAACATCATATTAATCAGCAGTGCGTAGGTTTATTAAACGGTATAGGAAAATCTCAATAGAAGTTTTGTTTATACATCTATTATTAATGCATAGACTGCATACGAGGCTATAACAAACAAAAAAATAAGTGTTACTAAATTTAGAAATGAAATCGCTCAGAAATTTTTTGTAGTAGAAATGTTCAGATTGAAAATTTGGATGGTCGTCGTGTTAACCAAGAAAGAAATCACAAGCTTTCCGAAATGGAACAGAGAGGTCGTTGTACAAGATGTTATAAAATTAATAGTGATAGAAATGGACGTAACTTTGCCATAAAAGAAACAAAATGTGTTAAAACATCTTGTCTAGCATGCTGTGTGAAGTTCTTGTGTACCGACTGCTTTTTTGACACTCATTACTATCAAGCAAAAAAAATGAACATTATGTCCAAAAATGATACACACAGCTTCTAAGAAGATAATTACGTGTTTATTTCTGTCACAAACTGTGTGTACCATTTTTTGACACGGCCTTTACTATACATGATTTTGTTTTTAAATACCTAAATATTAGTCTTTACATCTGTTTAGTATTAAATGTTGTGAATTTCACCAAAATATAGCTTTAGTTTCTGACAAAAAACTTCAAATATATAACCAGTAGCCAAAGTGTTACCGGTAAGCCGGGAGTAAGAGTAGCAAACTTATTTGCATCTTCTTTGGGGTCCAAAAACTGGCATTCTCAGCAAAATTCAGCTTGTTAAGTAATCAAGTGAAACGTTAAAATAGTAAGTTGAAAGAGAACCATTGAGAACCCCAAAAGAGCTAAATTAAGCTAAAAAGAACACTGCTGGTTGTTCATTTATGAATTTTTATTAAATAACTTTACAATTATTACTTTTATCATTTAAAGAGTAAGTATAATATTGATATATATTGATGTAGACCAATGATCCAAGAGAAAACAACATAAAAATAGATGCAGAGCGATAGAAAAGACAAATACCTGTCGTTATCTTCTTTAAAATAAATGCATTTTTCAAGAAACATATTCATATTAATATACACAACAAAAACAAACGAAAGCCAAAACAATTTCACTCACCTGTTGAATCTGCATTATTAATTTATCCACTGAATAACGTGCTTAAAAGTATTTAATTTTTATAATAACTACAACTATTTCGACAAAAAATCACTTCACAGATAATATATTAAACTGTTTTTGTACAGAAAACAAAACCATCGAAACCGGTATAACTCATAAAGTTCCATTAACCTGTTGATTGGTGTAAACTCTTTCTATTGATTGGCACATATCACTTACACTGAATAATACTTTTTCACCTATTTTTCGTACAAAAACAACAATAGTTTAATTAATATTTTCGCGAATACTACCGAAAATCACTTTTGAAGCAAATCGAACAAATTTCTGGTTTTTGATTTTACCCATTTTATTTTGACAGAGCGGCTTACAATTAAAAACAAGGTTGATACTAGATAAAGGTAGTTCAGGTTGACGTATGACGTCATAATATCAGAGTTTTAATGTTTCCGTACTACCCTTATGAATTCTCTACTATTAAAGTTATT